TCTGGTTGGGTCACCAAGAGCCCAGAATTTGGCATCGACCAGATAGTGGATAAGAATCTGTCATCCAATGTCAACCAGAGAGGTCAGGCCTGATTTATTGCTCCAAGACTCAGAGCTGAGTCTTGACTTTTCCTAGACTGGGTAGTGATGAGACCTAAATGCTTTAAAACTCCAATTGCTCCTCTGAGTCAGGTCCCCAGAGCCCATATTTTTTTTATAATTTGGGGAGAAGATCATGAACTAAGTTTACTTCTACCAGTAACTAGTCTTATGAGTACATTTCTTCCTGGTCCTGCAAAATGCACACTTCTAAAATCATATCAAGATGTATGCGAAGAAGAAAAGTTGAGTTATTCATTGAGGAAAAATAGTCATTTTGTAGTATTTTGGAAAAATTTCTAAAGAAGGTCAAGGATAATTCCTGGGCTCCAAATGGTGCCAACAGAATCAGCTTATAGCAAAGGGGAAGGCTCCTGTTCTCCCCGGGGAACATGGGGTGGTCATTAATGAGCTCTGGCCACCCTCACCTCTTGGCCTCACCACAGCCATTCCCAAGAAAGTGGCTTCATGACTTAATGAGGATGGGGGGGGGACGGCCTTGCTGAGAGGAGGGCACAGCCATTGGCCTTACTGCTCTCACACCCACACTGCATTGGGGCTGGCATTTCTCCTAAACACACACTATTTGTGCTTTTTATCCTGGAGTGCCATAAATTTATGGGTTTGCTTTGCTAAAAAAAAAAAAACCCAGATACCCTTGAAACCAGGAGATTCTCCTTCCTCTCTAACTGCCGCCACCTCTGTAAACACTGCTTTGGAGGTGTGCTGACCTTGGAATTGGGCCTGGAAGGCAACAATGTGGAGCAGTCCCCGTTGCTTGTATATAGATGAGGGGCTCCCTGTGAAGAATCATTAAGGCATCTTAGTGCCATGGCTGGCTCTGGGCTAGGCAGTGGCAGTGGCCTGGGAGGGAGCCTGGCTCTGAGCCCTGGCCTGGGAAAGCAGCTTCTCCCAGCGTGGATTTCCTCTGCTGGCCAATGTCCAGACTTGGCTGCCATGTCCCCGCCCCAGCATCCTGCTCTCCCCTGGGTTGCTCCCGTTGCACCTAAACAAACTGGGCTGCATGTACGTTATGGAAAAGTTGACTCTGAGACACTCCGTAGCCGAGCCAAAGATCTGAAAGTCTTCAGAGGAACTTCAGAGGAAGCAAAGTGCAAGTTTTGGTTTGTTTCAGGGGGTTGTTGTTATTGGGGCTCAAAATTAAAACCAGCAGCTGCCATGTGCAAGGCAGTGTAGCCTAGTGTGTTCACTAGAGATTGATTTCAGCAAATGTGTGCCTGGTTTGTGGAAGAGGCTCAGGCTAGGCCCGTGGGACGGCGTGGTTTCCGAGGCCCACCAAGTGCTGTAAAGTGGAGGACTCCGGGTCAAATGATTTTGTCCAGCGCTGATCTTAGGAGTAGAAATAATGAGTTCTAAATTCTGAAATATGACCGCCTTTCCTAACACGTGTTTCTAGAGGCTGTTTCAGTTAATTCTGACCTGAGGTTAGCTGTAGATGAGGAGAAGGGGCATGGTTTCTTGGTTTACTCATGTAGGAAAATCTAATTATTCACAGCAAGTTCGGACTCTAGAGCCAGATTCTGAGATGTACTTCCTTTTAGTTGAGGAATTAATCAATTGGTTTAGAGATCACCTCCCTTTCCCGTTAGTAGCTCTGGCCAATTCAGTACATTTGAATTAATTATTGATGTTTATTAGTTAAGGTGTGGCATCTGTAATAACGGTGTATTTGATCTAGAGTTTCAATATTCTTTATTAATACCAATTCCAGATTCAGTATGACTGAGTGAATTTTGTATATTTTAGTTCCATACATTACTTTTTTACTGTACTATTCCTTGGCAACCTTTTATCTGAATTGCCTCAATATGTCACAGAAACTTGAATATAACTAGGAGGGTGGTTTACTCAACCTGAAACCGGGAATGGAAATTTTGGGACGAATTTGTTGCAAAAGCTCACAGTCAGAAAGGCAGAGCCATGGGAATCAGTTCCAGTAATGGCTGTTTTGTACTACACCCTCCTATTTTTAGGAACAATGTGTCAACTACCAAAGACTTCTCCAGCAGTGCTTCTCAAATTTTAATGTGCATACAAATCACCTAGGGATTTAAAAAAAATGAGTTTTCAGATTCAGTTGTCTGTAGATTGGAGATCCTGCCCTTATAAGACGTTCCCTGGCAGTATTGGTGGTTTTCTCAGAGAAACACATTTTCAGGGTCAACTTCCTAGCATGATGGTTCTCAAAATATGGGGTCTCAAGAAGTGCTATCACCAGGAAATGCTGATTCTTGGTCTCCTCATTGTCGAATCAAAAAGTTGCAAGCTGGTAGCTAGGTTTTAAGTAGGTTTACAGGTGATTCTGATGCAAATTCGTTTGAGAAGCATCATTCAACAAAATGAGCTTCACGTCTTTCTCTAGCATACTATATCCCAACATTTAATAGTTCCTGACTTTTAAACATTCTCTCTTGAGTTTAGCCTCAAACTGCTTCATTGCTCCAGTTCTTTGAGGAATTCTTGAATTCATCTTTTGAAGAATTGAATCACAGATGTGGAGAAGGACAGCTAAGAGGTGTTTTAAGCTTGAAAAAATTTTATTGTTTGCTCTTATATGTTTTGCTTCTAGCTCACTTTGAGAGTTTTTAAATTGTCTTTGATTTATTTCTATTATGTACTTGTTTCTTTAAAAAAAGATGTTTTGATTTCTTTTCCCTATACTTTTTTCTCTCCTATGAACCTTGGCCATCACTAATCTTTCAAAGTAAGTGGAGGAAGACATTAAAGTGGAAATTAAGTTGAAGAAATAGCTATAACTTAATGATTGAAATATTTTACTGGTGCTCACCACTTTTTCCCATCTCAGAGGTTTGGGTCATTCTGCTTTCTTTCATTTAGACGTTTGAGATATTTTTTTCACTGCCTTAGAAATTTAATTCCGCTACTAATCTATCAAACTTTTTTACTGAAAGAGACAGAGCAATGGGAAAGAGTAATTACACTCTACAACAAATTTTAAAACAGTTTTATTGGATTTAAAATTAAATAGAGGCCTGGGGAGGTTGCTCTGGGGGCAATTAATGCTCAGACACTAATGATGATCTTGAATCAAGCACTGAATAAGCATGAGGGCTTCAGAGAGCTCTTCAAAAGGCAAAGGAAACTGAGGTTGTAGAGTCAGACAACAATCCTTTCTGTACCGAACTCTTCAAATTGGATCAGTCATAAAATTGACCATGGGGAAAATATAACCTCCCCTCTCTTTTGAATGGGGACCAGCTAATGACCTAGAATTCTCATGAGAGTAAGTTACAACTCTGAGAGCCTTGTCCCTGTGTGGCTGGAATGATTCTGGGTGCTCGGGCAGCCATGTGTGAACTGCACTGTGGCCTTTGCAGCTCATTTCTGAGGAGTCCAAATAATTTTTCCTTTCAGGCAGTATGGTGCTTCCTTTCTGGTCACGCATCTTGGTATTGATATGAGAAATCAGCCTCTGCACCCTGCCCCCACCAGTTCCTGAGTTTAGCTGACCTAAGCAGCCTGTGTCTGTCAGGGGAAACTGGATGCTCTTAGAAGTTTTGAGTCTGAGGCTACTTTTCCCAGGTTCTCCCAGCCAGCCCTGCTCAACCGCAGTCTTTGATGTGCCGCAGCCATTTATATAGTGGTCCTTGCAAGTGCGCACAGAAATCCCAAAGAGAATTCCATTTATTTTTTCCCCCCATAGTACATAGCTTTCAAGTTGGGCAAAAGACATATTCCCCAGATAATTGTGGAAAAAAAAGCCTTGACAAATGCATAACTACAAATAACAATTACCAGGAAACTCACAGTGGGAAGGAGCACGGGTAAATGTTCACTCCAAAGGACTTAAGAAATATGAATTCAGACAAACTGAACAGCCTGCTGATTTTGACCTAAATAAATCAAACCAAGGCACATGGTAATAAAAGTTCTATCTAAAAATTAGACCATAGCCATCAATTATTTAACTGTTTCCTCTCCAGCTTGTGACATCAGCGACTTTTCATCGTTGTGATCTGGGGTTCAAGGAAAGAAAGCCCGGCTGGCTTTTTCACAGGCAGAGGCTCTGCTAACTGACTCAGTTCTGAGGCCTCTGGTTCCTGGCTTTCCATTAGGGTAGGCCAGGTCCTCCAATTGAAGAGTATTTCTAACAGAGAACATTTCCAGAATTTTAGTGAAAACAGCGTTAATCCCCAATTACCCAGGGGTTGACCTTTAGTTTTGGAAACACCTAAGATCCTGGTTTTTCTTATAACACTTAAAAAAAATTGGGTTGGGCTACATTCAGCTGTGCTTTAGGGCTTACTCCTGGTTCTGTGCTCAGTGGTCACTCCAGGCAGTGTTCAAAGGACCATATGTAATGCTGGGTATCACTCTGGTATTGTTCATACATAAGATTAATTCTGTGACCTTTCTCTAGTCTCTTCAGCTCCACTTCCAATATTTTATCTTCCTCCCACTCCCTACACTACCCATCCTTGATGTCTTTTTGAATCTTTCCACAGCATATTTCAAAGAAAGGTGAGCAAAGAATATAACATGAACAGAAATGGGTAAAACAGAAACTTATGAAGTTGACTCTGTAATCCTAAATCTGGAATTGATAATGATAGAAAGAAGTGGCCACTCTTGACAAATATGTTACTTTCATAATCATCAATGAATGAACCATTATCTAGCTATCAATAAAGTAATAACTTCATATTTCATAATTATAAATAATTTTGAGATATGTAGACTGTGCCATTGAATCATCATCAATAGATAGTAAATCATCATTAGGTCCTCATTGAGATAGATAACAAATTATCCCAAACGATCAAAAGAGATAATATCTGTATTATGAGTCCCACGCCTAGCCGAGTAGATCACTTTTTCCCTTCCAACACCTTCAATGAATAAAGATAATGAAAATGTACCTGTCCTGCAGTGTCATACAATCCAAGCAAATGCTGCTTGCCTCCCACAGTCACAGTAACTAGGGGGGAAGAGGAGAAGAGAGTACATTAAGGCAAGCTTCAATCAGGAGGCTTCACATCTCTCCATGCCAGCATCTCCCTGGGCAGCAGGAATAAGCATATGCCACACACATGTATATTCTAAACCAAGGCAGCAGCATGGTTTCCAAATAAAATGCAACCTTAGGCTGCAGTGAGCAGATGGACTGAGCCAAATCCAGGTTTTCTCATCTAAGATGAACATCATTGGTGTCTTAAGGCACTTCATAGTTTGCTTATTGTTCCTTATTAGGCCCAGCAAGATCAAACTTCAGAAGAAAACTAATGCTGAACTCTTTTCTCAGTTAGGTGATTTTCTTCTTCTGTTTGCAACCTGTCAGGATGTAGAACTGAGAGAGAAACTTCCTCTTTAGAAATCTGTCTTCTTTTTTGTCTTAGAAATCTTAACATGACACAGACAATAGAGTATTCCTATCTACTATCTATTTTGTAATCTATAAGACAAAGCTAATAATAACATGAAAATGGGTTACCACCTATTTTTAAAATAGTTAAAAAATAAATATTCACGTGATTTAGTTTAATTCATTCCAGTTTTGAAACAGTTGCAGAAAGAGATGTTGTACAGGTCTGATTTCACATACCTAAAGGATATATCGAGAATGAGAAGTAGAGAGTTTGATTTACCCAGCAGGTTTACTGATTTGCCAAGCAATTGTGTCCAAAAGTGAGAAGCAATAAAGGGACACTAAACACTCTATACATATCTGGAAATGAAATACAGTCTCAACTTGAAACGTAACTGAAATTGAACAGCTCAAATGCAAGAGTAATACGATTCTCCTGGTGAATGGAAAGAGCAAATTTAAATTTCCCCAACAGGTATTCTATTTTGGAAAAAGGAAGTAAAATATGAAGGAGAATATGATTCACACCACCTCTGTTGATTGAAAAAATGTGCAAATGCACTGGAGAGATGATTTTTTATTTCTCCTGCCATTAGCTGTGCAGGAAATAAAAGATAAGCTGAATACCAACCTTTTATAACCATACCTTTAACATATGCCAGCAAAATTTTTTAGTCTGCTACTCAAAGTAACTGATTGCATACTAATTTCACTTTCATTTGTGTTCGGATTCATGGGCTACATGTATGCAAGATACTTCTTAATGGCTGGTTCTCTGAAAAGCACTTACTAAAAGGCATAGGTTTGCTAGACATCAGGAACAATTTTTCTGCTTAGGTATTCCTGTTTCCTGCATCCCTCTCAGAGAGCCCGGCAAGCTACCGAGAGTATCCCACCTGCATGGCAGAGTCTGGCAAGCTTCCTGTGGCGTATTTGTATGCCAAAAACAGTAACAACAAGTCTCACAATGAAGACATTACTGGTGTCCTCTCGAGCAAATCGATGAACAATGGGAGGACAGTGGTACACTGCAGTGCTACAGATATTCCTGTGTTTAACTTGACAACATGACTGAAGCCACTCTAGATTAGTTTCAAAAGTATTTCTCAAGGTAGACCCAGCTGCATTCAAGCCTGGGACCAACGCTGACAGAAGAGGAAACATTTTTATTTCTTTCACATGTTAGGCTAGTGATGGGAAGGAAACTGAGACAGCGTGGCTCTGAGCTCTTGGTGTGGTTCAGTCTTCCCCTTCCTCCACTCTGAGCCCAGCCAGATGTTCTTGAAATCTGCCTAGAGGATTTCATTAATGACCGTTTCACAACCTCCTCATAGACCAGGAATGAAGGGAAGAACTCCAGCCATTACAACATGGAATTTCCTGCCTCTAGCCAGCCCAGTATATATGGGTTAGGAACAGCTGTTCCTGAGACCCATTGGCCTGTTCCACCCCCTACAGGCCCAGGGCCATCTGTGGAGCCAACATTTGAAACAAATAATCCTTGCAGTCCCACTGGGCCCTGTAAATATTTCTAAGCAATGGCTCTGACTTTTGTCATTGGAGCCCTGAAACTCCTGCTTGGGTTTTCTCAGAGAACAATCCTTCCTTTTAGCTTGCTTTTTCTTAGACCTGTGCTTTTGTCCCTCAGTGGCTTGGATGGGCCATGGGAGAATTTCCTTAGGCCTGAGGAAAGTTCCAGTTCTGGAAGGTGAGCCTTAAGTTCAGGAGGATGGGTCCTGGGCACAGCCTTCTTTGCTCTGCATCTTTTTCCTCCTCAAGGGTTAGTTGGTTTCCTGGCCAGTGTTCAGAATTGGGAACAGTTCTCTTGATATAACCTTTGTCCCCAAATGAGTGGAGATGAAGGATTTATTGGGAAAGCCTGGGAATGGTGAGATTTAGTCAACGCCATGTCAGGGGCAGCTTAGAGAGATGTGGGAGCTTACGGGAGGCATGTCACTGTGTGTGTGGTGGGGGGGGCGGGAGAGGGAGAGAGGGGTAAGAGAGAGAGAGAAAGAGAGGCAGAGAGGGAGAGAAAGAGAAAGAGCGAGAGAGAAAGAGAGAGATAAAGAGAGAGACTGTGCATAGGTTTATGCATGTGGGTGGGTATATGAGATATTACAAGGGCCCTACTGTATATGCTGGAGTTAATAAGAGATGACTTTCTTGATATGATTCACCCCACCTCTGTTGATTGAAAAATTGTGCAAATTTCTGGAATGTCTGAATTGAAACTGATGGATGGTCAAGAGTCACCGATGGTGCATTGTGATTCAATGCTGAAGGGGCATTTTGCAGTTCCTGCCACAGCTCATTGGTTTAGATGTTATTTCTAATTTTTTTGGCCAGTGATGCTCAGAGGTTACTCCTCACTCTACACTCAGGAATCAAACCTGACCGTGCTCAGGGGACAATATGCAATGCCAACGGGATTGAACCCAGGTTGGCTGTGTGCAAGGAAAGCGCTTTACTCATCGTACTCTCTCCAGCCCCTGATTTAGACTTTATTCTGAAGACTTTGTTTAGCTATGAAAGTTCTAAATTTGACTCCATTCCTCCCTCCCCCAATGAAAGTGAAAGAAAAGAAAACTTAAATAGTTCTTCAGGGTTAAAGTAAAATGTTAGAAGAAAGGAGGATGATGGAGCAGAAGTTGCTTTTTGGCTTTCAGCTTTGTGTGTGGTGACTTGTCTACTCTGTGTGTGGTGCAACAACACTGTTGAGGAATCCTACAGGAAGGGGACAGAGTTCGTATCCACGTTCTCTGGAAACCACTTTTGTTTCCTTTTCTCTGCTTGTTATGCTGCCATTTTATCAGAAGGGAAGTGGATCATCTAGTTGTTGCCAGAGAATATCAAGTGATAGCCAGAGACAGATCTGAGCATTTAATCACATTTTGTGGCATGTACAAATGGCTTTGTGAGTCCTTATCTTGGACTAGCAGTGGATGCCTTATTCTTGCCAACCCGAGTCCTGTGAGGCTGCTCAGTTTAGAAACAAATCAGTCACAAGAGCACAGAGGGAAGGTCTTTCCTAAAATGTGAAAAAAATATGTAATGAGGTTTCAAGAGCAGGGTCTTTTTTCCTTTAACTTAAAATTAAAGCACTGTGATTTACAAAGTTATTTGTAGTTGAGTTTTAGATATACAACATTGCAGCACTGATCCCACCACCAGTGTCAACTTCCCTCCACCAGTGTTCCCAACGTTCCCATATTCCTCACTCTTCTCTGGCCAGCCCTCTTGACAGACACCTTTCTAAGTTTAGTTGTTAAAGTTTGGGCCTCTTGACTTCAGTGCTGTTGACTTTGTGGTTTGCATATTAAACTCTATCATTCCTTAACACCAACTTTGTAGCTTAATCCCCTGACCTGACTCCCATTAAAAGTAGTTTTTGTCTTTCTTTCTTTCTTTCTTTCTTTCTTTCTTTCTTTCTTTCTTTCTTTCTTTCTTTCTTTCTTTCTTAAGCCAGTTGGTTCTCCAAGCCTTTTCTTAGCTATTCACATATGAAGGTCTTGGGTCACTTCACCTCCTCTCCCCTCCACTATCCCCTTCCTTTGCTTACTAATAATGGTGATAACATCACCTACTCAATAGAACAGTTGTAAGAAAGAAATTAAATAAGAAAATGCCTGACACACAGTCTGGATCACAGTAGGTGCTTGAACAAGTTTACTTTCCTTCCTTCAATAAATGCTTACTAAACTTCAAAGGACAGGGCTGGTAAATCCTGATATATACCCAGTGCACATCCCTGAGCACAAGTAGAATCTCAACATTGTGACCTGCAACTCGCCTCCTATCTTAAATGAAGATATTTAGATATTTTGATATCCTATACCTTCTCTTGAACAGAAAGATTCAGAGGAGACAGTCTCTGAACTCATTTCTCATACTAAGCAGCACAGTCTGGTATTCCTGGTAAATGCTGACTATACAGTACAGAAAAACAGACAGAAGAAAGCTGCCCTACAAAATATGCCGACCAGCAGCTTAATACTTTTGGTAAGACACTATTGGGAATCTCCTGTAGCCAGCAAATCTGCCTGGCAGACAGTGTTCAGGCTAAAATTCCAGCCTACCTTCTATTCTTGAAGCTGTTATTAGTGTTGTTTTCTGAGTTTTGAGAGGTCATCAAAGAGAGTCAGTCACCTGCTAATGGCTCTATGGTTTTCTCAATAAAGTGTGAAATGTTGCCAGTGACCTGTTTAGTGTGTAAAATGAAAAGCCTTCTACATATCCATCCCACACTATTTCTTTGTGTTTCTTCTTTGTGCAGTAGAAGGTTAGTTTTGTGAGTTGAGAGGGAGGAGTAATGAAGTCTGAGGTCTAATGAAGTCTTGGGATTGCTCCCAAGAGGAACAGTTTCATTCAGAGAGAAAATGTTCCAGGCAGGGTTGGAGACTATTCCGCTCAACATTGCAATCTTACAAAACTGTCGACTCTTTGTAAACTCAGACAAGGATTTGCTAGTCTGTTCCAATAAACCAACTGAGGCCATCAGTCCAGCTCATCAGCAGAATGAGGAATTTGGTTCAAAGTCCTTCCATGCCAGGTGGTGGGTTGGCTGCCACCGTTGTTAACAGTAGATTTATGAAGTCTCTATGAGAAATAAAAGA